TAATTACTGACTACACTATTTAGTTTCAACATGCAAATTGTCAGAGGAAATGAAGCATTCTACTTTCCTAAGTTCTTAAACTATAAATTATATTTAAATTATACAACTATAGTTGCAACTCATAACTAGTTAGGCACATCTGGACCTGGTTTCACTTTAACTGCCATTATTTAGACCACCCATACTCATGTTAATTAATGTGACACAACAGTAAGAAAATCAATGCAGATGAGTGTATATGATGGTAAATCATGCTTATAAGCACCATATAAATTACTGGCACGAACACTACAGGAGACAAGTCTGAAATTGCTCTAATGAAAATTACACACACTGTAGAGAAAGGTATAATCATAACATAATATAAGCCTAGAGGCTCAAAGGCTATATTTAATATCAAAGGTTTTGATAGAATGAGAAAACTTAAATATAGGCTAACTAATTAGTGGTGCTAGATTACAGTTCGTAGATTAAGTTGCTAGTACATCTAAATGTAATAATAATGACAGAAATTAAGCTTTATACATCTAAACTAGACCTTAGATTGAAAGCACTTTGTATTGAATCTACCCAAATCTAGATATAACCCTACCTCATCAATTCTAGAATTAATTTATTAGGCTTAACTTTTAGAACAAATGTTACATCTAGATCTATTAACTTAGTCGTTAGATCTGTCCCAGTGCAATGCCTAGTTTAATAGATAGTGTAGGTCTAAGTACACCTATAATATAGGATACAATTTGTATGACAATAGACCTAGGGTCTGGAAAAAGTTATGACTGCAATTAGACCTAAATTCTAGTACATTAGTTGTTGTAAGACATGATTTACAATCAGCCAATACAATTACAAACCATTACATTAGGCCTATAATGTTTACTAGATCTAGGCCTTGCCTGTTGCATATAGCCAATCTTGTACACCAGTTAATATGTTACATCAGTCTCGTATTTTTATTTTGTTGAACATACACTTACTGGTACGTCGTACCCGAGGACTTGTATTTGATACACAGATGAATGATGGAATAGTGTAATTTACTTCAGTACGTCAAAATCGGTCTCACTGTATTTCAGTAGGCGGCTTTTAAAAGTTAAAACTGTAAGCGTAATATACACAAATAACGTAATACTGTCATATTTACTTAATGTAGGGCAGTTGCACTACATCCTAGGGAAGGGCATAATTATTAATTAATAGGCATTATAGACCAGAGGAAATTCTACGCCCCTTCACACCTGCGCCCGGGGGCAACTGCCCCCCTTGCTATGCCACTGAAATATAATACTACTATATTAGTATTTTAAGTACTATTACTATTAGTAATGTGCAGACTATTTGTTGACTACTAGTCTAACTTTTAACACTAACAATAAAATTAAGATACAAAACAGTAAATGTCTCTTACAAAATTTTTCAGCCTTACTCTAACCTCATGTAAATACCAGTTACATTTGGATTTAAAAGCACTACCTATGTGCTGAAGAGTTCTTTCAACCACTCCAATTCACAATTATACAGTACAAAAACTAAAGCACAGAGGGATAAGGCCTTAATTATAAAAATATTAGACCTAATTTTGACCTTGGATGTTACTATTACAAACATTATATATTTAAAATGTACTAAAATCCATTAACTCTTTAATCATTTAAATTTTTAAAATTACTAAACACCTATTTTAATTTGCTTTAACTTTAATAACCTTGAAGATAAGTTTATCTGTCACCTTAAATATATTGCTGCAGTCTGACTGTAAATTTCTTTTACAAATACTTGTAATAAGTTAATAAAATACAAATTATTAAATTAAAACTAATACTGAATAATACATATATAAATAAGGAAGTTTGTTAAATATACCAGTTATTAGTAATGTGAAGTGTATGTTGGCAACATTTAATCATTCAGAACTTTCCTATTTGTAAAAATATATAAAATTATGTAACTGTATTAAAATTAAATACATCAAATTTCACTTATACATTAAAAACACTGTACGATTTCAAAGCTTAGCTTATGGTTAAAATACATTCAATAACTTCATACCATATTATTATTATTATAAAACATTTCTTTATGAATATATAATTTTATGTGTCAGTACTATATAGTTCCATGTATTTACCAAAAACATAAGCTGAAAAATTTTATAAGTATATTTGAAAGTTTTAGGATGTGTATTTTAAAAACAGAATTAAGCTTGTTTATGTTAGTTCCTTTGCACTGATAATATTACATGATAAGCTTCTTTCATGGGGTAGGGTTCAAGTCTACCACCACTTATAAAGAAACTTGAGGGTAATCAACTGGACTGGGGATGATTTACACTTAATAAGTAATATGTGCACAGAAGTGCCAAAAAAAAAATTGGGCAAAGAGACCATTAAAGGTTGAAAGCTTCACTGTGTACTACACTGCATAGCATTAGCAGCAACACGATACCTACTAACACTAACAGCATACATTTCCTAATCCTATGTAATAAGTAAGATAGGAGCATTAAATTTTCTTGAATTTTGAAACACTTATAAAAAACAATTTCAATTAAAAAAAAAACATTCTAATACTTTGAGATACTTACAAAAACTTTTACCTTATGTTTTTGGGTAAATATATGGCCACAGGCCATACTTTACTGTCAATGTTTTCAAAGTTTTTGTTCACATTAGGCACTAGGTAAAACTCCGTTTGTCTGACTAGTAGAAAGACGTTCAGAAACGTTTACATGTTACATCCCAGGACTAACACCATCAAATAACGTTTCTATAGGATTTCTCTCTCACTATCAGGTAAAAGGCGATATACTTAACTTATACGTTATACTCAAGTTTAATTTAGCAATTAAAATAAAGTTAAAAGTATCACATTACATTGCATCTAGCAGAGCTTCCTAGATACTGTACGCAAGTATTTTTCATTAACATGTGAAATGTAAATTTTCCCGTTTTAATAACTTACGTAACGTCAACGACAGTTAAGCCTTAACTTAATGATAACTTTAATTTTTAAACCTAAAAGTAAAACAAAATAATAATAACATCGAGTTTTTCAATAAGCTATTAAAAAGCAATCATTAGAAAACTATATATTAGGATCAAGAAATTTTACTTTTGTGACCTACAATTTGTTTTATTACACTACAAAATACGACGTTGTCCATTTATCATTTCCCCGAAAATATTAAACTACTCAATCTAGTACAGTAGCACTGCTACTTTTAGCGGACAATTAACATAAAATCGAACCTGGTGTACAAAATGAGAATTACATAACGGATAGAAAAACAACAACGAAACAGACTCACTTGACAACCAAGCCAGAAACGTGTGCTGAACCATGTAGATACAGAGTAAATTGTAATTAATAAAGCATTTTTATTCCCAAATATACTGTTGTCCCTAAGTGGCTCAGCGGCAAGTCTGTAGGCTTACGACGTTAAAAACGGATTTCGATACCAGTGGTGAACAGAGCACAGATAGCCATTTGTGTAGCTTTACGAACAAACCAACGAAACAATAAGACTTCTTGAAACGATCAAAGTTCATGTTCTGATATTTCTTTATATTTTCATAAATGAAGATGTAGTGGCATTCATCTTCTGGTTAACGGCTTTTTTTTTTAACTCGATGGCAAGATTTTCTAGCATTCTAAGTTGGAATTCTTCCTGTACTTCCATGAAAACGTTTGGTTTTAACCCAATCTTGAAGCATCGGTATTACAGTAGTTTTGTAAAGTCTCACGAGAAGAAGCTTGTTTGTTTGTTTGTTTTGAATTTCGCGC